CTGTAATCTCCATATTCTTAGACAAGTGAGTGTCTGAGCCTCAGGGCCTTGACCATCCAATGGTGGTTATTCTGTGTTATTGTGTTGCTGTGGATTGGGTAGGGAATGATGTGGAAGACACCTGCCCAGAGCCTGCAGGCCATTTGGCACTCAGTGAACACTTTGCATATCCTAGGATAGCTCCAGGGGCACTCAGTGGGAATTTTAGCTCTAAATCCTGCTGTCCCTGTGTCTTTGACACTTGCCTGTACAGCCAGAGGCACCATGCCCCATGCTGTCCTTAGCAGCCCGATACCTGGGCCAGCACTGACTCAGCCAGGGGGCCTCAGAATCCCCCACCCCGCCACTGCCCTGTTCTGTTCTCTCATGCCACCCGTCTCTCTTCTCGGCTGGTACCTGCTGAAGCCCAGCAGAGGCCTGCAGCTCTGACCTGGGTGAAGGTGGGCTCCTGTGCCTCTCCCATCAACTGTGTGTATGGTCTGGCGCATCAATTCACCTGCTTATTAGTTCTTTTTCTGTTTGGAAGTTGGAGGTTAAAGGATTTTGTAAGGATGAAATGAGATGATACATGTGAAACATTTAGCAGTTTCTGCCATGCAGTAGGTGCTCTATAAATCTTGCAGGTGCTTCTCTCTGGCGGGCCGGGGCCTTCCTCCCAGGCATGGGCGGCCTGGTGCCCGGGACTGCTCTTCTGAGCTGCCCTCAGACTCCCGGCTGTCCTGGCCTGGATTTTCAGGGCCTGCTCCACCTGTTTAGAGCTGTTCTTTGCCATGAGCAGTATTTTATTAATTTTAAAAACACAGTAAAAGTGCTTTAAACGCATCAGCCATTGTTCTGAGCACTTTGCAAATGCCAGCTCATCTAATCTAATCCTTATAATTAACCCCTAGGAGGGGTTGCTTTTTTGATGAGCAAAGTCAGGCACAGAGAGTTTGTGACTTGCCCCTGGTGACATAGCCAGGGTCCAGCCCAGGTCTCTTGACACTTAAGCCATTTCTGGCCTCTCTCCTGGTGACCCTTGTGCTCTCAGTACTCACCTCTGAGACCAGAGCCAGCCCTCTGCCAGACCACCAGTGGGAGCTCCCAGGGAGTTCTGTCCCTCTTCCTCTACCCAGGAGCCCTCACTGTCATAGCAGGGGTGCTCCAGTGTCCCCCTTGTGGTTAAGAAGGCCTGGGCCTCCGTACAGGATGGGCCAGCCCTGGGCCAGAGATGCCTTATCTCTCAGGCAGACCCCTCCCCAGATCAACCCTGTCCCCCACTGCCTCGGTGGTCACCCGGGACTCCCAGGACTAAATGTGTCATCATCCCAGCAGTTGTGAAGATTGTTCATAAGCAGATCTAGCAGTTCTTTTGGTTTTTTGTTTGTTTTTGTTTATTCCCCTGCCAGAGTAGGGGGGCAGGAGGGGGAAAGAAAATGGTTGTGTGGTGCAAAGTAGTGATGTGTGCCCAGGCTGGTGGCAGCCTGGGGGTGGTCCTGGGGGTCTGATTCAGCGACTCCTCCTCAAGGTGATGCAGTTTCTGTGTGGACATGTCCAGTGAACATGATCTAGAGAAGGCTCCTGTCAACATGTGGGAGGACCACATGTTGGCACCAGCGTCCCTTGGCCTGGCGGCCTAGATGCTGTGGGGTCTTCAGGGAGGACAATGTCACCACTCCCCAGGCTGCCTGTCCCAGGGGTTATCTCACCAGCTCCAGGCACAGTCAGGGTCAGGCCTTTCTTGGGCTACATCAAGGCCTCTGACTCCAGGTCCCTGTCACAAAGCTGGCAGCTGGCGAGGTGAGCCTTCTGGCTGTGTGGCCTGGACATTCTTTCAGAATGAGGTAAAGACAGTGTTGGTTTTTGCTGTCACCCAGGAATGTGTTCAGGTGGGGGTTAAGATGAAGCTGCTTTTGTGTGAGTTAGGGACTTTTCCATACACACTGTTTCATAAACACTCAACTTTGTCAGAGTGAATTTCTAAATGAATTGCATGGTATCACAAGTTTTTGTTTTGTTTGTGCAGTACTGGGGATTGAACCCAGGGAGCACTGAGCTTTACATTCCCAGTTTCACTAGGGTCTCACTAAGTTGCCCAGGCTGGTCTGGAACTTGTGATCCTCCTGCCTCAGCCTCCCAAGTAGCTGGAATTACAGATGTGCACCCTCACACCCAACTCTGGGTTTTTATTTTAAGGTAGCTGCATAGCTGCTCTTTTAGTCTGGACCTACTGATTTTGAGAAGGCTAAGGGGTACCAAGGGGATGTGGCTAGGAGGTAGCTGGGCATCTTGCTCTGGGGCTAAGGACAGGAATGTGGGTGGCACAGAAACACACAGCTGAAGGCTTGGCATGTCTGTGAAATAAATACACACACAAGGATGTACAAGGCAAGCCTAGACAGACCCAGGTGGGGCTTTGACACATGTGTCAGAAAAGCAAAAAAGCAACTAGGAAACAGGACTGAGGCTGAGGGACCTGGGGTGGGAAGATAAGCAGAAAAAGGCTGAGTGCAAAGAAAGGTAAGGACCAGGTGGCAGATATGGCAAAGAGGCCCTGGGGGCCTGGGAAGGGCTGTGGTGTCACAGCCAGGAAGAGAAAAGAAGTTTCAGGCAAGCATCACATAGAGAAGGCAGGTGGGAGGGGCAGGGGAGGCTTAAGAAATTCACACCTGTGGAGAAGAAAGCAGGAGCTGGAGGAGACTGGTGGGACTCCGAGGAAAGGCATCGCTTACTGTTATCATTATTCATGGGAGAGGCTTGTGTGTACTGAAACACTAGCAGGAAGGGGAGGCTGGAGGGAGAGGTTGAAGACACAGGCAAGGGCTCTGGGTGGGCAAGTGGGGGGTGCACCACTGGGACAGTGGGTCCTAGGGAGGGAAGCCAGAGGGGCACAGAGGAACCAGGGAAAATGGAAAGCTTAGTGGCAGGAAGTTTTCTTTTGTTTTCCCCAATGAACACTGGGAATATCTCCGTGAAGGAGGTGAGGTCCCTGAAGACAATGGGAGAGGATTGTGCAGGTGCTCTGCTTCCTTTCACATCACTGTGACCTCAGCCCAGAACTCAGAACCAAAGGCAGCCTCGTAAGCTGCAGACCTGCGCCCTGGGGAGGGAATACATGCAGCTAGGGCTGCTGTGGCTGACACAGGATGCACAGGACCCAGGCCTTCCTGGGCTCTGCCCAAACCCCTGTCTCCCACCGCGAGCCAGCCTTGTCTCCTCTGGTCAGTTTTAACTTAATTATAATCACATCAGTTTGTAACATGGACCTTTTTAGGCATTAGTGACTGGAAGAGTTTTGTTCTATTAATTCACATTTTCCAAACCCACTTCACACAGATGGAATCTTTTGTAATCCTATGAAGCCAAACACAGGAGAAAAATGGTGCCAGAAAGGGTGGGCCTAGAACTCAGTTTAGTGAGGATAGAATGGTCTGATTTCTTCTGACATCTTGATAAATCTTTCTGCACCAAGTTTGGAAATTTCAACACAGAGGAGTACTCAGACTTCGCTCATTGAACAGATGCTGTTGGAGTGCCGTGTCAGCCAGGCTCTGTGTCAGCCAGGCTCTGTGTCTGGGTGTCTCTTTGCCGGGCTCTTCCTCCTGCAGTCCCCACTGCAGTCCTCTGGGCTGCTTTTAGCACTCTCATTGTCCTCAGAGAGGGAAGTGATGCCCAGGAAACTAGTGATGGGGCTGGGATCCAACTGGGCTTTGGCCTTTATTCCATCCATTGCATCAAAGCATCTCCCAAATGTAATGTTTCACACTGCTGAGGTTTTAATTTTAATGTTACCTGTCTTCTGGTGCACAAGACTCCTCAAGGAGTTGTCAAATCCCCAGAACTATTAGAGTTTGAATCAGGGTCTTTGAAGTGTTCAAACCAAATAAATACGGGCAGATGGACAAATACCTGCTTTGGCCCCTACACATATGACATAAACAAAATGAAACAGAAATAATAGATTTTGTTAATAATTCAAGACAGCAGTGGGAGAGTGGGGTCAGAAAAGGAATATGGTATTAGTGGTTGGAGCTTAAGCTGACCGCTTCTTTTGCTGCTTCACAGCAGTGTCCCTTAGGAAGGGAAGACAGCCTTTACCAAGTGCCTACCTATGCCAGGCTTTCTCAGATGAGAACCTGGGGGTTCTGAGAAGATAAGCATTATGCAGCTGGAGTATGAACAGCCAAGATCTGACACAGGTCTAACTGTAGGTGCACACTTCTTTTCCAGGTGTCTTCCTAAGTTGTCATGGTGTGGAAATAAGACCATAGACTTTTTTTTTTGTACCAGGGATTGAACTTGGGTCCTTGTGCTTGCGCAGCAGGCGGCAAAACCACTGAGCTAAATCCCCGGCCCAGACCATAGACTCTTAAGTGCACATGCCCATGCACACAAAACTTCTGCTGTTTATTTTTTTAAAACTCCAGGAAAAACATGGAGGGACCAACTATCAAGAGAGAAATTGGGCAACAACTGCCCCAGTCCTGAACATCAGTGTAATAAGCTGGGCTTTATATTTATTATAACCCATACTTTCCTAGCACTGGCTTTGGGATCCTGAGGGGAAGGATGGAGGATGGATGTCACATGTCCAATAAAATCTGAGATTCCTCAACTAGATTTTAATTTTGTTAGCCTGGAGCCCTGGAGTCGCATCTGTGACCAGATAAGCCCTGCTGCTGGTTAAAACATTTATGCCCTCTCAGATAATTCACATTGTAAGAAAGGACTTTTAGTCCCAGAGAAGCTGGGAGAGGGGATGTGGTGAGATTAAGAATATTTTGACAAAGAAATCTTGGGAAATGTGGCCAGAGTTATGGGGGAAAGTATTCCTCCCTATCTCTAATGGTTTCTGCGTGTACAGGCACCTCAGACCCAGCCCTCCTCTCCCACCTGGTGAAGATGTGAGTGGCCGAGACTTCAGCCCTGCCCCACCTCCATGTTTACCTGCTAATGAGATGCCATGGTGTATTTTGCATCCTGATTAGAATTCCTGTTGAAAATGACTCTGTGCTTCCTAGGAACTAGCCAGCTGTGGATGGAGTAAAAAGGAGAAGCATAGTCTCGCCCCCAATGTCGTGGCCTTTACCCGGAGGTTTAACCAGGTAAGCACCGCCCTTGCATGTGCCTGTGCAGATGGCAGTCTGTTTGTTGTTCCTGTAGGCTGAAGCCCTACCAGGGTTCAGTCTGATGCACCTGGCCCCAGGGTGCCTCTTCCTAAACCCCTCTTCCTAAACCTCCCACCCTCATTCACTCTGGTGCCATTACAGTCCATCTTCACAAAGCAGGTAGAAATGAATGTGCCTTTGCTGTGCTGATATCACTCAGGGGCTTTGATTCCACATCAGCTCAAGTTTGAGCACCTTGCAGTGCTCTGGGAGGTCCTGCATGGGGGATCCAGCCTCTGCCCCACCCAGGAGCCTAACCTCTTGTCCCTGGCCCGCCCTCAGCAGGATTTGCATCCTGGCCTTCGGTCTTGTCCGATGCACATATCTGCCCTGCCAGCTCCCTCCTTCCCTGTGTGCTCCCCTTCAGCCCAGAGCTCTTCTTCCTTGTTGAACATTGTCAGTTCTTAGCCTGAGTATTATTTCCTTAGGGAGTCATTCCTGAGTCCCCAGCCTGTATGAGGTCTCCCAGTCATCTGTCCTTCATCTTAACCTTCTACTTTGTGTGGTACTTTACTCACCTGTCCTCATTCTGTGTAGCCCTGTGGTCTGTCTCTGCCTTCCTTGCCAGGATGTGAGCTCTGTGAGAACAGGCACTATGTCTATCTTGTTTGTCACTGTGTCCCCAATAGCCTTGCCCAGTGTCAGGCATATATATAACAGACCCTTAGTAAGTCAGTGTGTGATGAATGAATGAGGTTCCAGGAAACACTTCTTGAATTGAACTTATTTGAATCCAAACTCACAGCTCCTGAACTATTCCAAACTGACTTGGTCTAGCTAGAAACTTTGCTCCAGGCATGAAGAGCTGCATGCCCGTTTATTGACTAATGATTAAACACATAGACCAACTGAGGGGTGGGGCTACTGATTTTCTAGCCAGAGCTGCCAAAGTATGACTGTAGGTAGAAAGCAACCTACAAGAGCCCCTTTGCATAAGCCAGAAACCCATGGTGCTATTGGCAGTTTTTCTTCTTTATTCTGGTTTTTCTGGCTTCACATGAGGCCACTAGCCTAGAGGTTGCATAATGTGGTGCCTGACTGGCCCTCCGGGTGCTGGGGCTTGTGTTCCCTTGGGGCCTTGGATCCAGCTGGGCCTTCCCTCTCAGAAATGCCTAGTCCTGTGCATCACTGTTGCTCAACATCTCCAGTCCCCTCCAAGTGCAGCAGGAGCCTCAGAGGGGCACTAGTTTGCATTTTGAAGATCAGGGCTCGAGTAGGCTTTAGTGTTCTTTGATGCAATAGAATAGGAGCCAAGAAAGGACTTCATACATCTGGGATAGGAGCTGCACACCGTCTGTTTTGAAAAGAGAAGTTCCAAGGCCTTTTGCTTCTTTCCTCTTTCTTTTGAAAATTTTTTCAACTGGGCTTAGTCTTTTTTAAAAAACAGATGTGCACGGACTATCAGGGGATTCATAGTTTTCTTAACAAAACTATTTGATTGGGAGTCAATTCAGTCCCCACCTTTGACCAGCCACGGAGCTCCCGGAGGAGGGGGTGTTAGGGGCTCTGATGTAATCTGCTTTGCACGTGGATGCCAGGCCAGCTTGGCAAAGGCAGTGCAGTTTGTTCTGTGAACAGTTGCATTGTGTCCAGCTCAGGCCGAGTGGTGAAATGAGCCAGAAGTGAAGGCCCATTTTCTCAAACAAAATGCTCTGGGAAATGGGCTTCCTGCTGACCCATCAGCTACTCTGAGAGCCAGCAGCTGCTGTACATAGCCCTAGTAGCTCTGGTCTGAAAACTGATCAGAGGCCAGCCTGGTCAGCCACTGGGGCTGCTTTGCGTAAGATGAACTCATTGGCATCCCTTCTCAGCAGACCTTTCACATCTGAGACCAGGACTCCTCAACAGACTCCAGAGAAGAGAAAGCAGCCCACTTACCTCTCAGAGCATCATTTTCCTTATCTGTAACTGAGAAGAATCATAGTAGTCACCTTGCACAGCTGTTATGAAGAGTAAATGAAATGGTATACGAAGAACTTTCAGCATCTTGTCTAGCACATGGTATGCATCCAAACAATTCAAGGGAAGAAAAGAAAAACGTGAAGGTCAGCTAATGGGAAGGAGGTTGCCATGTTATTTGAGACAACTTGTAGCCAAACCAGAGGCTGAGTGGCGAGGGCCCTGGCCAGTCTACCTGCCTCTCCATGGGTCTGAGTCCTTTGGGATTTCCTCATAGACTGGCTGGATAGAAGAGCTCACCCAGATTCACTAAAGGTCTGTTATGTACCAGGCCTGTTTCTCCACTCCAAGGAGTTCACCATATAGCCCAGAAGTTCTTGGTCTCTTTTGGATCATGGATTTTTGTGAGAATCTGACAGTATCACATATGAACCTATCCCCAGAAAATATGGGAATATTTATGTTCAGATATATAAATTTGCATTTAATTTTGGGGGTTTCATTGTTGCCCTAAATTGTGTGCAGGGACACTGTAAGAGTCTTAGGATCAAACAGACCTGGGTTTGAGTCCTAGCTCCATGATTTATCAGCTGTGTTATCTTGGGCTGACTTGTGGCCTCTGTGAGCTCATTTTCCTCAGGAAGCATCCCAAGTGGCTTTTAAAGATTAAATGAGAATTGTGGGTGTAAAGAACTCGGCCCAGTACTTGGCACACAGGAAACGATTCATGTTAACTTTTTTGTGTGTATGTGTGGGGTTTTTTTTGGTACCGGGGATCGAACTTGGGTCCTTCCGCTTGCACAGCAGGCGGTGAAACCACTGAGCTAAATCCCAGGCCCTGATTCATGTTAACTTTTAAAAAGGGAGCAGCATGGTAGGAACTCTTAAGGCCAGAGTAGGAGGGTGGGGCCTAAGTGCAGACATGAGGGTGGGGATTGTGCCCCAAGAATGCAGAAAATTCTGGAAAAGATGAAGGAGGAACTGGAAAAAACAAAAGTTCAAGTGAGAGCCGGAGGACTGCTGCCATTTGTTGATGGGCATTGGGCAGGGAGGGGGCTGTACAGGAGGCCAAGCAGGGGCAACCAGGAGCAGGAAGAGCACTCGGGAAGGGGAGTGTCTAGAACCCATTTCAAGGTGAGGAGTACTGCAACTTCAGTCACCCAAGACAGGGCCAAAAGAGAGGCCTTGCAGCCTGGCATCAAAGGCCTGCTGGTGACTTCAGCCAGTTTCGTGGGGACATGCAGGCTGAGTGGTGCGAGGTGGAGATGGTGGAGAGGCCAAGTGTGGGTGAGCCCTACAACAGGGGCTCCCAGGGCAGAAGGCGAGGAGGAGGAGTGGCCGGGAAGTGGTCATGTTTTCTTCTTTTAAGTAAGAAGAGCCTTGAGGAAGTTCGTATTTTGAATGGAAGCATCCAGTTAGACCAGGAAGTTAAAGATGAGAGAGAGGGACAGTTGATTAAATCAAGTCCGAGAGAAAGAGGGAGAGGCCGAGACCTGGGGCCCCTTCAGATGAGATGAAAGGTGCTGCTGCAGGCCATCTTAGGTGTGGTGCAAGGAGGCCTGTGGCTCCTCTTCTCCAGGGAAACCGGAGGGAAAGGTGCGGTGGGGATCAGGAAATTGTGAGAAATCCACTCCACAGTAAGGGAAAGAGTTGGCTATGGAAAGACTCTTGGGCAGTAGCAGTGGCCCAGGTGAAATAGACTGTGACTTTTAAAGTTTCCCCAGAGCATGTGGGCAGGTGGTCTTCTCTAGTTGTCCTTTGTAGGCTGGGTGTGGGAGTGTAGGAAGGCGATCCATCCACACACACAGGCTGGCAAAGCAGGTTCTAGAAGGAGCAAGGGGTAAGGGAACTTCAAGCCCTGGTAAAGAAAAAGGCTGAAGTGACAAGTGATAGGAGATAGGTCTGCTTGAGAGGAAAAGGATGCTCTTAGTTACTTTTCTTGTTGCTGAGACAAAATACCTAACACCTAAAGTTAAAGAAGGAAAGGTTTATTTTGGGTCACAGTTTGTTTCAGTCCATAATTGGCTGGCTCCAAGGCAAGGTGGCATGGCAGAGGGGCATCACAGAGGAGAAAAAAACAGTTCATGGCATGGAAGGCAGAAGGCAGGAGGCAGCAAAAGCAGCAAGCACCAAGAGACAGCAGCAGCTCTCTTTTTGTCCTTTACATTCTATCCAGGATACACACCCTTAGGGGAAGTAGCACTCACACCCAGGATGGGCCTTCCCATTATCTACACCCAGAACTATGCCAAACCAATCAGTGGGCTGATTTAGTGATCACACATCCTTGATTCCAGCACCACACACTCTAGATCCAGTCACCTCTGAAAAGCCCCACCTATGACCTCACCAAATTTTAGGGGGACATCTAGACATAAGCCACAACAGATGCCAAGAAGGGCTGCCAGGGACAATAGTGGTGGTGAGAAAACAGATTTGGCCACAGGGGATCAAGGAGGAGGTGAGGACTGCAAGATTTGAAGTTGTGGCACAAGACTGGGATATATGTTTGTGGTGTTGAGCAGTCCCTGGTAATCAAGAAGGAAATGACAGTCATGGTGGGGTTAAGAGTTGCTGCAACTGAAGTGGTCAAGGTGCCTGAAGTCATGATCATTTCTAGTGATGTCAGAGCTGCCTAAGAGGCAGAATTTGATGGGGAGAGGAAGACAGTGACCCAAACTTTTATCTTTTCCAGTATGTCATAGGGGAGAAAAAAGACTCATACATATGTGTCCTTTTCAGACTGGCTCCCCCCGTTTTGAATATGCATTTATTTATGGTTCATCTCTGTCTGTGTGACTTGATAACTCATTTCATTTTTAAAAAGATCAATACTATTTGATTGTATGGATGTGCTGTGATTGGTATATCCATTGGTTTATCCATTCACCTTCTGAAGGACATCTTAGTTACTTCCATGGTTTGACAACTATGAATAAAGCTTTCATAAGGCAGGTGTTGTGGTACATCCCTGTAATCCTAGCGTTCTGGGAAGTTGAGGCAGGAGAATTGCAAGTTTGAGCCCAGCCCCAGCAACT